TCGCGCTGTATCGTGAAACCGATGCGGGGACAATTTTTAGAATTTATCGCATCGCCCGAACATGGTGATAGTGTCGGCGATCCCAAACTATGATAAAATATCGTTGCTAAATCATCAAGCTTAGACTAATCTTTATATACTTTGTGTGAAAGTAATAGGTTTTCACGCGACACGCTAAAATGTCAAGCAGTCTGTATGGGAGAATCTCTAGCTAGAATGGAACTCTTCGTATTCTTCACAAGCATCCTACAGAATTTCGCAATCGAGCTACCAGATGGCGTTACGGAGCCGTGCATCGATGGGGATTTTGGGTTTGTCCACATGGCAAAACCTTACGAGCTGCGGTGTGTCGCACGTGACTAAATAACGCAGCACATCACGTGACCGGTTCGAATAAATCTGGTGGGTATACCAAATCGCCGATCTCAAGAACTAGGGCATTCTGCTAGGCTAAAACGGTTTTCTACGATAGAGTTTGCCACAAATATGAAAATATCACGCTGTTTAGCGCACTGCACTACGTCCTTCTGTTGAATTTTCGCATCTCCGTAATCAGAATAAGCCCCGCCTTCTTCGTTGATGGACATGAATGGGGCGTCACCGACGTGACTAGTTTCTGTACCAACTGTCTTTCGCCAGCCTGGTTACTTTTCGTAAATAATGAAATGCCTGCCCGATACATTTCGCATCAAAGAGGAAAATTTTTGGCAATTTCACTCGCTGTCGGAAGTGCACGAGTGCGTCATTCATTGAACATTTTAGCAAAACACAGCACACTGCACGACAGAAGTTGGAATGACATCACTGTCAAATTTCTCGCTCGTGATTTCCTCACTTTTAGAGTTTTACTTGGACTTAGACTTTTGATTTTCACTTTTCATTTTAAGACGTGTACGTCTGAAAACCTGGGTGAACAGCAACAAATTCGGGTGTACGATGGTTCGAGAGACAGCTATTTTTACTGCTTCCTTAGTTAAGTACGTCTATGTTTCACTGTTATTTAGGAAGGAAGGTAAAACTGTGCATTCCTATAATTTCACTCTTGCTTCTATAGTATGATTTCCATAATTTTAGCATTTTTGCTCTTCTGCCCATAATAATATTTTCCTCATCATGAACCTACATTTTTCAGTTCGGACTCTTATCATATATCGTTATAACCTCCTATATCATTAATTAAATCTTCTAGGTATGAATATTTGGTGCATTTTTTTTTTACTTGGTTGCCTATAGTATTAATATCTCCTTCTCTATCCTTTATTTGTTTGTGAATTTTATAACCATTGTATTTGTTCTGTTCATATTAAATTCAAATTTTTTTTATTCAGCTAATCTGGAGCATGACTGAGCGATTCTTGTTACTGTTTTATAATCTCCAATTCCTAGAATATCGTCCATATATAATCATTGTCACCTTCTAAAACTACAGACCATCCGCTGACCGCTGTGGAGACGTTCGCCGGGCCTCGAATTTGGCGCACGTCTCCACTGCGGACAGCGCTTCATACTTGAACATCCCCGCGGTCGCGTGCGCATATCCCGCGGAACTGCGCGTCTCATCCGCGCGCAGCGCTCAGGATCAACAGCAAAGCTGTGACACGCAATCTTGTATCATGTCTCTCTGGATTCGCCAATATATAGCCGACGATTTCCTAATGAAAATTAGCTTTACACCTATTGATTACACTCGTCTTACTGCACACGCGTTTGCCTATGATCTATGTTATGTCTTGTGATGTTATATTTAGGGATCAGAGTTAAGGAAATGCATAGCACCGCGGATGAGTGACGTGACACTCGCGATCGTGTCGTGTATTGTTACGTTTAGAAGCAACGATTAACAGCACCAGTAATATATTAGACGAATTACTAATTACTAATTATTAATAACTAATTACTAATTACTAATTATTAATAACTAATTACTAATTAGTAATTACTAATTACTAAGACATTCTGTTTAAGATATTACTAGATTGTTAACATTGACTTGTTTTGCGTGTGTAGGCCGAGTGCGCGCATGCGTGCGTGCGTGCGTGCGTGCTTGCGTGCGTGCATCTGTTGTGTGTATGTGCGTTTATCAGATCCTGTCGCAGTTTACCCTGAGGGTTATTGTAGTAGGATAATATGATATATAAGATATATATGATATATATGATAATATGAGGTACTATCACAGTATATATATATATTTAGTGCATCACATGATAAATCGTTGAACGTCGCAGGTAGGCCCTACTATGAAACAATGGTGCCCGCCTGAGCGGGCACTATTGCTTGCGCGACGCAGTGCGCTATACTAGGGATACTCGGACAATACTTTTATTATAATGTTTATTCCAGTTGCAATGTGTTACGTTTGTGTTTTAATACAAATTGAAATTGTTCGTTTAAGAAACTTTGTCTTATTCACTTCATATTTGCCGAGTAGATTGCAAAGTCATGTGATGCCCTTGCGCGCGCGCGTGTGTGTATCTGCCTGTGTGTGTTTTGTGTGAATGCGTGCGTGAGTCAGTGCGTGTGTGCGTGCGTGTGTGTATGAGTGTGTGCACGCGCGTGTGTGTGCGTACGCACGCGCGTGTGTGTATCTGCCTGTATGTTCGTTTAAATGCGCGCGTGCTTGCGTGCGTTCGTACGTGCATGCGTGCATGCGTGCGTATGTGCGTGCGTGCCTATCTGTGTGTGTGAGTGTTTGTGATGATGTCTATACGTGACAGAGCGCACGCAAATTATACTTACAATAATTATTTCAGCTAGCAACGACTGTGTTGTATTCACCGGCATTCGAAGTATCCGTGACGGCGTGTGAGAAGGCGTATATAAGGCGTAAATAAGGCGTAAATAAATCATAAATAAGGCATATAGAAGGCGTAAACAAGGATACAAATGAGGTCATTTTAATCATGACATTTCGTGAAATCATCTAGAATTTCAGCTGCTTAAAACGCTGCAAGATCTACTGGCTGCGGGTTCGCACACAGTGATAACGACTCTACGATGGGGTTTGCTCTTCATGCTGAAATACCCACGCGTCATGCACAAGGTGCAGGCTGAGATCGATGACGTCATCGGACGAGGGCGTCTACCCTGCATGGCGGATGAAGACAAGATGCCGTACACTGAGGCGACGATTGCCGAGGTGCAGAGAGTAGGTGAGGCGATCACGCATCATGGATATTGTGTTAATTATAGTAGAAAAAAGTCATTATGGTGATGAAGACGACGACGGTGATGATTTTGATGATAATGATGGTGATAATGATAATATCAAGAGCTAATCATACTATATATATATTATAATCTCTTGATAGTAATAATATGTAGCTACGTTATCCTGAATAACTTTTCGTATATATAGCAAACCATAATATTTAAAGTCAGAGGACCATGAATTTAGTTGTGTGGATAAAAAAGCAGCCGAGGAAATCAGGAATGTAAATATAAAATGTGGTAGTAGATGTGGGCGGTAGAATGAGGACACGATAGGGTAAAGGCAAACACTCGTTTACAATTAAATTAAATTAAATTAAATTAAATTTACTTTATTTACCCCTATGAATTACATTTTGGAGGTAACCTGTGAAAAACAAATAGTTAAACAACGATACTTAAACAAATGAATGGACAATGTTTACAATGCTTTTCAATTACGCAAATGTTTCTATACTATCGTCCCTTGCAGGTGACGTCATACCTATAACACCGCATGAAGTATTGCATGACATGGAACAGGGAGGTTATAGTATTCCCGCCGGCACCATGCTGATCGCGAACCTCACCGCCATCTTGAATGACCCCAAGTATTTTCCGGAACCGGAAAAGTTCTCTCCGGAGCGCCACCTGGACGAGAACGGACATTTCGTCAGGCATGAAGCTTCTATTCCCTATTGTATAGGTGAGTCCGTGACGATCGATTGGGGGGAGGGGGGGCTTGTGTGAGTCGTGGAAACTTATACGGACATGTGCAATCGTGGCGAAAGAATTCAGACCTTTCCGCCTAGAATGATTGACAGGTGTCTGTTAACCAATCAGAGTTGTGCTTATAACATTCTAAATCCGGTTCTAAACAGGCTGCTTAGTAACGAAATGCAGAAATGTTGACATTTTAGCGTGCTCGCGTGGAAAACCTATTACTTTAAAAGTTTAGATTAGTCTAGCTTGATGGATTTAGCAACGATATTTTATCATATTTAGGGGATCGTGATTATCCTGTTCGGGCGGATCGATAAATTCTAAAATTGTCCGTCTTCGTTTCAGGTACGCGCGTCTGTATGGGAGAATCTCTAGCTAGAATGGAACTCTTCGTATTCTTCACAAGCATCCTACAGAATTTCGCAATCGAGCTACCAGATGGCGTTACGGAGCCGTGCATCGATGGGGATTTTGGGTTTGTCCACATGGCAAAACCTTACGAGCTGCGGTGTGTCGCACGTGACTAAATAACGCAGCACATCACGTAACCGGTTCGAATAAATCTGGTGGGTATACCAAATCGCCGATCTCAAGAACTAGGGCATTCTGCTAGGCTAAAACGATTTTCTACAATAGAGTTTGCCACAAATATGAAAATATCACGCTGTTTAGCGCACTGCACTACGTCCTTCTGTTGAATTTTCGCATCTCCGTAATCAGAATAAGCCCCGCCTTCTTCGTTGATGGACATGAATGGGGCGTCACCGACGTGACCAGTTTCTGTACCAACTGTCTTTCGCCAGCCTGGTTACTTTTCGTAAATAATGAAATGCCTGCCCGATACATTTCGCATCAAAGAGGAAAATTTTTGGCAATTTCACTCGCTGTCGGAAGTGCACGAGTGCGTCATTCATTGAACATTTTAGCAAAACACAGCACACTGCACGACAGAAGTTGGAATGACATCACTGTCAAATTTCTCGCTCGTGATTTCCTCACTTTTAGAGTTTTACTTGGACTTAGACTTTTGATTTTCACTTTTCATTTTAAGACGTGTACGTCTGAAAACCTGGGTGAACAGCAACAAATTCGGGTGTACGATGGTTCGAGAGACAGCTATTTTTACTGCTTCCTTAGTTAAGTACGTCTATGTTTCACTGTTATTTAGGAAGGAAGGTAAAACTGTGCATTCCTATAATTTCACTCTTGCTTCTATAGTATGATTTCCATAATTTT